TCGCCTGACGGAACAGTGACGGCGGCCGGCGGCGAACGGTGGTGGACAGCAGCGGACAGCATCGAGATGGTGGACAACCAAGTTGAAGAACTCCAAACTGCAGTTGACAGCTGCAGATAGTGGCGAGACAGCCGCGAACAACCGCGAACGGCACCGGACAGGTGCAAACAGCAGTGACAGTGCTGGTGGACAACCCAGGACAGAAACCAGAGCAGGATGAACCTGCTCTGATACCAACTTAGAGATCTAAAACAGAGAAAAATAGTTCTAAAGGGCTTGAAAGACCCTTCTCAGTTCTATTATTTATATAGATAAAAAACTGATAAAAAAGATAGATGGAAGATAAAGAGATTGTACTAGACTGCTAGGAACAATCATTATAGATAACCCAACACACAACTACCTACTTTTAGGCCCTGCTCTACTAATCATAGGTAGACTTAATAATTATTCTAACAAGGTTATTAGGGGGACAGAGAAAGTATAAATAAACATTCTTTATTTCTGTTGAGGCAGCTGGCCATTTCTTACGTTTTGTAAACAGGTCTTGGACCTTGTTGAGGGGGATTACGCTCCCGAGTTGTTATTGTTTTCGTGTTACAGTTACAGTGAATACATACAATTACAGAGATTATACACCTTTCCTTTGTTTTCTCTTGTTTATTTGCTTTGGCGTGAGTGGGTGTTGCGAGAAAAGTTAGGTCTCTTACTCAAAAACCTAACAACATATTAATAACTCAAATAGTAGTCCTTTATAAGGACAAAAGAAAATAAACAACTAAAGTGTAAGGATCTCTGGGCCTATTACACTGATCCCCTCCAATGAGTCCACTACAGTTGCATCATCACAGTTGGGCCACTCCACTGATTCTGAGGCTGTGATATGCAGGGCTAGTAAAAGGCAGCTTCAGCTACCTCAACACTTTAAGGATTATGTGGTGACTATACCTCATGCACGTGAGAAAGGGAAATCTGTTAGGAATGATTAGGGAATCACAAGTTTGTTATGATTTTTTTCTGCTTTTCCTCTTCCTTTTATTTTAATTGCCTTGTTATTGTTAGGCAGTTATAAGAAAGTGCATATATAGCACATTTTGGGTGCAGTAAAGGGGTAACAAAAATGAAAGTATTTGGTTGATTATTCTCTCTCTGACTATTCTGCTCTCTCTGCTCCCCTTTTCTGTTATTCTCTCTCACATTTACCAATCATCAAATATGTTTGAGATATAATTATTTTCCTTACCCAATGGAACTAAGCAGTTATGATTACTGATATCTCTAAACATTAAAAAACAAAAAGATTTTGTCTGGCAATTTATAGAGAAGAGAGCATTCTATCAAGTAAAGCTTCAGCAGAACTAAGCTAATCAATCAAGATACAAATTTCTCTGAAGAGACTCCTATAGATAATTTTAAGCAATCACAGGTCACTAACAAAAAAATGGGCCTAAGTGCAACAACCCTCCCACCAATACTGTAAAGCCAACCAAAAAATAAACTTCCAAACACCCTTGCTGTGCTGCTTACAAATCTAACTCAGATGGCAAAATCTAAGAGACAATAAAAGAACCTCAAACTATCCTTAAACAAAACAAACCCAAGGACAGGCAACTATATTGTCAAATCTCTTCCTGAGGTAGTCTTAGTAAGTCTTTTGTTTTTTTTTTGTTGTAAACATAACATCATATAAAGAGAGAAAAGACAAAGTTTATGTAGAAGAATATTAGAGTATGTGATATTAAGAACATTGAATTTTGTAATTAAAATTTGAAACACTGAAATTGTAGTACTGTAATAGCGAAGTGGTGAAAAGTAGATTCGAAGATTTAAATAAAGATTGATTGTGTGGTGGAGGTAATATATGACTTCATCCTGGTTCTTCTAAAAAGTTTGTGTCTGATGTCAACTTATTGGATATTAGAGGCAATAATGTTAGCAGGTTTGGCTTTTAAAAGGAAATGGCGGAACGAATTAATTTAGTTTTAGGGCTAGTCCTATCCTAATCTTATCCCAACCCTATCCCAACCCACTTTACATGGGGTTTAAGGGGTTAGAGCTTTAGAAAAGGCCCCCATTGAATGGACTAAAAATATAGGGTTTAGTTTTAGAGGGGACCAGGACTAACCCATGGGTCAAGGGTTCAAATGACATCTCTACTGCATAGAATATCAGAGGACATTTGTGTTATAACAATTATCCCTTTATGCAGATTAAATTAGATAGGAACTTTCTAATGAGATCTTCACAAGGATCATGTATACTAGGATTTTATAAATATTACTCTGATGGATCTTAACTAACTTTTAAACTGATCTACTTGAGATTGAAACTGTAAAATATTTCTAGAGGGCTTAAAATATTCCTCTCACTCTCATTCTATATACAAGAAAGTTTTGATACAAAAGTACATGAAAGATTACGGAACTGTCCCTAGACACCTAGGTGCAGACCTAGGTACTACTACTATAGATACTAGACACACTACCCTTAAGTAGGCTTAATGATGATACATAGGGTAATTATTCTAACAGATCTAAAAGTAAAATGAGACAAAATGGATGTAGAAACATGTTCAGCAAGAGTTGGAGTATCCAATAGTTTAGGGAGCCTTGTTTAAAAGATATTTTTGGAGTATTTGTTGCTTATAAAACTTTTTCTATTGGCATCTCTATAGAGAATGTCTGAAAGAATGTTTGTGACTAAGTTGATGGCTTTGATTGCAAAAGAAGGAATTTTGTGGTTAATTGTGTTACTTTGATTTGAATACATACTACTCAGCAACGTTATTTATGTTTAGAATGTGGATACTGGTGTCCGTAAGTACGTATTGTCATTCATATTGATTTGATTTCAACTGAATTTTACAAGTCCTAGCTGGTTATTGTACTACTGAATCATAGTATGTGAAGTCTATGTTGACAGTTATGCTTTGGTAATGCATCATGTACACCTCTTGCATTCTTCATAATGATTGTAGATTTCTAGATTTTGCAGCTGAAGCTCTCTGATGCTTTGCAGGGAAACACAGCTTCGATCATTTTATTCCACTACTGAAGAGATACAAGTTCTGTTTGCTAAGCAACAGGAACAATTGAAATCTATGCAAAGAACTCTTGAAGATGAAGAAAATTATGACAATACTTCTGTAGAAATGGATGGAGTCATTGGTGGGATCTCGGGCAGAGAAAAAGATGATGGATACCATAGCCAAAATGATGCCAAGGCAGGGTCAACTACTTCTGCACAAAAGGTCAACATAGATCAGGTTGAAACATCAAGCAATGACGCAAGTGTCACTGAGAAGCATGACTGTGATATAAGAAGTGAAGAATGTCAAAATACACAAGAGGCAGAATTCACCAGCGCTGACCATGAGCATAGTGTCAGAGGTGGCTATGGTTATAAAATCGATGGTATTGGCACAGGCGATGTATTGGAGAAAGATGCTGCTGTAGGCACTGAAAAAGTTCTTGAAACTGAAAGTCCTACAAACCAGGGTGAACAGAATATTGATTTGAACAAGTGTTTAGGTGGGGACACAATGCAAATTGATGATGATGATAACAATGTACAAGAAACTGAGGAGCTTGCTCACATACCTTCTCGTGAAGGTTTGCATCACCATCAATCGAATAATCCTTTAGACACTCAGAAGACCATTGAGGATACAGAAGTTGAAGGCACAATCACAACAGCAGACCTTTTAACTTCTGAAGTTGCTGGTAGCTGGGCTTGCAGTACAGCCCCTTCCATTCATGAAGAAAATGAATCTCTAAGAAGCAGAGATACTAATGAAGGTTCAGGAGCATTGCATGATTCAAATGTCGTGGTGGCTGAGAGTCAGACTACACTTTCTGATGCTGCAGTTGCCAGACAAAATGCACGTCGAGAACTAAGTGAGATGATTGGCATTGTTGCTCCTGATTTGAGGGAGCAATTTGGAGGTTCTGCATACGATTGTGACCAAGAGAGAAAAGACGGAGGCTGTTCATCTGACTCGGATACTGAGAGTTGTAGCAACACTAGCACGGATACTGAGAGTTGTAGCAACACTAGCATGGATAACGTAGCGGATGCAAAGGGTGGATTGATATCTGATGACGAAACTCAGGTTAGTTACCATGATGAGGAGGATAAAAAGAAGGGTGATACAATGGATGAAGATGATGAAGACACCCAAGAAGATTGATTTTCCTGCGTTGTTGGAGATTGTACATAGTTATTCTGGTATGTATTAGTTGTATAGATACCGAAGGAATCTCCTGTATTTTTTGCAATTTCCCTAGCTCCCTACCCCCTTCCTTTGTAATTATATTAAGGCATGTTTTTGCATTCAATTAATGAAAAATTATTAAATGCGATTTTGCTTCATTAAATGGAAATAGTTTGATAAAAAAGTATGAAGTTGCTAGTTAATACATGCTTCAAGTAGTCCATCTAGGGAAATGACATACCATTTTGATTTTTATCGATACAAGCATGTTAAAGTGTCAGTCTGTCGAATTTGACTATAACTTGTTTACTGAAAAATTTACCATGTGTGCCTGGAATATGAAACTCTGGTTCGCCGAGCTAATAACATAAATGCTAATATATTACCACTTTGCCATATTGTCGTTATAATATGTATTTTATGGATATGTTGTAGAAATAAAAGGTGGAATATGACCATTATATATCATAAAATTTGTTCGTTGTCTGGTATTAGGAAGGAAATAGAAGTGCTGAAATGGATTCGTTATGATGTTTGGTATATAGTAAGATAAAAGAATAGAAATTGAAAATGTATTGGACAAATAAAAATATTCCCTTGTATTATGCATTTTTCAGCTTAAAAATTCTTGCCCTAATTCTTGTGGTAAGTGAGAAAAATACTAGAACGGAAATCTTGAAAGGGGCAAAAGACAGGAATTCAGTGTAAGTACAAAAATAGGGAAGAACTTAGGATTTGTAATGTATAGGCGATCATTAGAACGCATTTCCACACTATTAATATAAGACTTGTTTGATTTAGAATTTATGGAGGAGCTTGAGACTTTAAGTGCTTAAATGAACTGTTCGATTTCTTAGTCATATTTTTTATACTCTGCATTCATATAATTTAGCAAATATTCGTGTTCTAAGCTGTTTTAGACTTCCAGAAGATCACAGTCCGTTATCTGGTAAAACTTTAGGAACGTGTTAATGTCAAATCAAAGGACAGTCTAGAATATGGACCTCGTGGTTTGTAGGTTAGAAATATATGCCAGAATATCTGTGCTCGAATATATCTTAGTTTTATCATATAAAAAATTATACGTAAATAACATTAGTAATGTGCATATAATAATTTATTTGGAACCTAAGATTAAACATTCTCAAAAGAAAGTGTCACGAGATAAGAATCGGTCTGATATTATTCTCGAATTTACTGAAAGTTTGATCATGCACGTAAGATTCTCTATAATACTTCCAAAATTGTTAGAATAGATGGTATAATAAGTTAAGAGATATGTAAAAGCAAGATTGTAAGGTGATGGCAGATACAGTGGTGCATGAGAGAGTCCAGTCTCTGTAACAATCTGTGGGAAAATGAATTGAATTCATAGAGCTATAATTGTACACGTTTAAAAATGTGACGATGATGATGGTAATAGAAGACGATGGAAGCTAAGTGATGTTGATGATGATGAGAATGTGTACCAATTTTGAAGGCAATCAATGCCACTGGATAATTGAGTGGCAGAGAGTAAGATCATAGATTTCTCATTTGAATGCAAGGCAAATTGTGATGGTGAGGTGGACCACACACACATATACATATACATATATATACATATACATATATATATATATATATATATATATATATATATATATATATTATATATAGAGAGAGAGGGAGAGAGTTTTGATGGTGAGAGATGAATGTGCAAACAGTAAATGCATAAATAGTGCATGTGAAACTACACCTCTTCAACTTGTGATTTATTCCACTGATCTTCTGTTAACTTTATTTTATTGCTTTTTATGCATTTCCCCATGCAATATTACTTTACCAAACCCAAAAATATTTTAATTTGATAATTGTTTATGGGATACTTTAGGTTAACTGAAATTTCTAACTACTGTTTTCTTAGTTCCCCTGAAAAACAAGGGTAATAAAAAGATCATGCCCACATACTTCAAGAGTTTAATTTATAAAAAAAAATTAGAATTATGATATGTTAACAAATTTTTTGACAATAAACTATATGTTATTATTTTATTGACTAATATATTTGAAACAAATCAATACATAGGTATTGAAAAATATTGTCGAAAAAAAATGTTAAAAGTATATTTTTCATAAACTTATTATGGGAAAACTGGTTTCTCTTCTTAATATGTAAATTAAGAGAAAAACTCCACTTTGTGTAAGTATTTTTGGGGAGAAATAAGTGCATAGGTGGGGATTGCAATAAATTATTTAACAAATGTAAGCAAATGACTTGAAAAAAATGTTGTGGTAGCAAAAGAAGAAGTTATTCCTTTCCTTGAAAATAACATTGGCAACTAAAAGAAATATGGATAAGTTGTAGTGAAAAAAAGAAGAAAACATAGGGTATAAGATATTAAGATGGTGTTGAAAATGGGAAGGGATTTTGATATCATAGTTGACTAGTTGGTCACGTAGTGCAAGTATTTTGGTGGTAGTAATACAAGAAATGAGTGAAGGGTTGTGTTGTGGTCCTTGTCCTCATCAAATACCTACACCTTCCTTGTTCAAAAGGGTATGATGAGGGGCTCAAGAACAACCCTTCTTTGGTAAAATATCTTACTTTTCACTTTCACAATATAAACTCTCACTTACATTTATGCATTTTACTTCTCTTTTCCTTTCTTCCTTCACTACTACTATATGAAAATGACTCCCTTTAACTCCATATCAAAATAACCCCACAAACTTTGCCCTACCTTGACACATCACTTTCCTACCTACATCAATATCCACCTATGTCTCTCTCACTCATCACTTTCACCCTAAATCTACGACTCCAATATTTGGCAAAACCACTCAAATATAATGTAATTTTTTTCAAAATTACAAAAATAATAATTTAAAATAATTATGAAAGTAGATAAATTGTACTAAGGTCACATAATTTTATTATAAAAAAGTCTTGTCAAATTGATACATTTATGTCACTTTAACATGATTTATACACAATTTATTTTTATAATTCTTTTAAAAGTTGTTTCATTTTGGTAATTAAGAAAAAAATGCACCAAATGCATGAAGCTTAAAACAATTTATTCATCTTACCATCTTGGTTAACCAATCTATGATGATGTATAGTTAGTAAATTTCACAAATTTTTTAGGTAATTTTTGTTTTTGTTTTTGTTTTGTGGGCATGTGAAATGGTGAGGCAAAGTTGGACAAGATATATACTAGCTTCCACTATATGGCATGATGATAGATAAACAAAAACCATCCAATGAATGTGAGAAGGAGGCATGGTGGTCATGATGATGAGGAAGAAGATGAAGCCAAAATGGGGTTCATTTTCCAAATAAATGAGCATGGCTTTGGTACTCAATTACATGAAGAAAAGGGACAAAATAAGGGACCTAACCACATTGACTACTTAACCCTTCCCTTCCATACAACACTCATTTCTTCCTTTGGCTCCTTCTAACAATAAACACGTGACTCTCACGTGCCTCCCCATGTGCCTCTTCTTTTCCCCTTCCTCTCTTCCATTGGTGCCTCTAAAGTTACACGAATACCCATTTCTTTTCATTATTATATCATTCTATAAAATATTTCGTCTTATGTTTTGTAATTTCTCTTTTTGACCCACATTTCTATTTTGTCGCATTTTCTTTCTCCAAATCCAACTAATTAATTAATTCGTTAATCCTGGTTACGTGTCTAATAAGGTGTACAGATAGCATAAATAAACAAAGATTTTGGTTGTGTTTTCGATTAAGCATAATGACAATGTTATATAATTTCATTGTTGAATAGAATCTTAACACGTAAAGACAAACATTCAATGTGAACGAGGACAAAGTGAGATTAGAAAATGTTTGGTATACTTTCGAGACAAAAACCTCCTTAAGACAACTCTTAGCTATTTTATATCCAACAAATAACAACTTTTCATAATTTATTGCTTCTATAAACATAATACAATAAAATTAATAGGTTTGTTAACGTTGGAGATACTATTAAAGATAAGATAAATTTAAGTAATTACAAAATTTATTTTATAAATCAGTTTTGTATTATTGAAATAAATTTAAAATCTAAAATTTATAATAAAATTTATTATTTATTGAATATATAATGTAATTAATTATTGAGTTGCTATTAGATTATCCTTTTTAATCTCATTTAATGTATAGCTTTTTAATGTGAAAAATGTGTTATAAATATCACATCAACTAAAAATAAATATAAATTTAAAATATATAAGTGAATGTAAACATTATCTTTTAATCTGGTCTATAAATTAGGTTTAAAATTTACTTTTTAAAAATTAATAAGTATTATGAAAGTGGTTATTCATAAATTAAAAAGAAAAAGTTTTGATATTTGATGTGTGTTTGTTATTAATCTCTAAAATTGATTTTAAGCTAATAAAAAGAAGAAAAGAAAAGAAAAATGTGTAGTGTTGAGAAATGAATGATATAAAGAAATGATCCGTCAACTTCCACTGCGAGAGGTTCAGACCAAGTTGTTGCTGGTTTTGAAAATTCCTCTCATCTCTTTCGGTCGAAATGATTATCAAAGAATGAACATAACAACATTTCAATTTACTCACTTTTCATACTACCAAAATCCAAAATGCTACAATAAATAATATTGACTGTCAAAGAACAACTTAATTAACCTAATCAAAAGTAAGACAAGTTGTGATGTTAATTGATTATTAGGCCAAAAGAAAATGATTAATTATTATTATTATTATTATTATTATTATTATTATTATTATTACAAAGTTTTTGTGATGTTAATCCCCAAACACGGTTCTTCTTCCCCCCAATACCTCCTATTATAGTAGTGGAATAGGGTTGACCTAATTGTATATAAGTATAAATGCAATGTTTCATTTAATACTATAAACCTAAACTTGAAAGAAGCATGGCTACATTAATCTAATCAATACTTATTTACATCTTTCACCTTTACCAAGTTTTCAAATTTCACTCTTTTCAATCAATGTGTCTTTCTTGTAATACCAACTTTAAAATACCAAAATACATTCATTTTAATATATGTGTGTGTGTATTAGGTCAAGACTATAAGGCTGTTAATAAAGTTGACAAATTCAAAAAAGTAATTTAGTTAGAGACCAATATGCATTTCTCAATCATGTTTTTAATTTTATATATTTGATTTACAAGGTAGTCAAATTTTGAGTACCAAAAAAATTATATTAATAAATTTAAGTGAGGGAGATTTGTCTGAAGAATGTATAGTATGAAAGTGGAGGGAGAGAGTAAAATTTAGAAGTTAAATTAAATAGGTCCCATTATTTATGGTTTAAAGAGACATGTAGACATCTTACATTAAATTTTCTACTGCAATGTTTAGCTATGACTTTTACCAGTCAAATTCAAACCACTCTTATTTTCTTCACTATTGCATCTTCACCTTTATTTCTAACTTTCTTCCTTACATTATAATCTATTACTATTATCATAACAAACTAAAACCAACACATTCTATACATTGCAAGAATGCACTCCATATATAATAATCAACTTCAAATTGCATTGCATGGATTGAAATTAAATTAAGAGTATCTATATATATATATATAAACTAAATTAAAATTATGGAGAAGAGTTAGCTGTCAAATTCTGATAACAAAGATGAAACGAAAAGACTTAACATACATATATTAATGAAATCAATTACAATAAAATTATTAAATAACAACTAATTCTTAAAAAAAATTAAACATTACATTGAATAAGTTATATATTATTTTATAAATTAAAAAAATATTAGTATCTAAAATAATATTTGTTACGATCGTAAATTAGAATTTAAATTAATCTTTAAATTAATCTTTAATATTAATTATTAAAGTTTTAACTATAAAAAATAAGTATTTTATATAAAATTAGAGATTAATTTAGAATTAATAATAATAAATAAATCAAATTTTAAAAGTTAATTTAAATTCTAATTCATAAATTAATTATAATTTTTTATTCATAAAAACTATTTTAAATAAGTAGTATCTAACTTATGTTACTTACAAAAATGCAGTTGAGAATCTACCACTCAAAAATCAAATTTTTTGTTTAATTAAAAAGTTCTTGTAAACAGTATAAGTGACAGAAATATCTTCTTGGAATGGAAATAGAGAAGTGATTGGAATGAAAATAGAGAAGTGATAGTATGAGATACATAATTTTTTACATTTATTTAATATATTTTTTTAAAATTATTTTTTTCAAAAATACAATTTTTTTTTAAATTTAATGTGTGTCATATTACTTTTACTCATGAAAATAACATGTTATAGACTTATTGATCTTTCCAAAAGAAAAAATCAAATTGTCTGTAATAAAGAACACTTATTTCTCAGGATCCTATTGGAGATCTTTTAACTGACATTTTGATGAGAAACAATTGATATTTGGGCATATGAAGACCCTATATATTGATTGTGTAGTTAATAAAGTAATCAGTTCTGAGCAACCTAGGACCATATGCATGAATACTGAAACCCAAAAACTTAATGTTTTCATAAATACTTGAATGAAAGTTGTTTTGATTATATGAGTAATGTTGAAGTTAATAAAGGGTGAGTTTGTGATGAAGAAGTTTGTTGAAAAGTGATGGTATCTCATGATCAGTGACAGAAGTTGAGTTGACATGATGAGTAAAAACATTGGAAATATTTTTACTGTGGAAGAAGGAAATGTATGTGTTGTGAGAGAAAGGAAGAAGGTGAAGAAGGAAGTGGGGAACCACAGGGTTAGGAGGAACAATAACTGCGGAAACTAGAAGCAAGAACACATTGGCCCATTTTAAATGAACCTGGAATAAATGCATGTTACCGATTTTGAATGTGATGTCACACTTATCTTCTTCTATTCTACTACCATAATTAGTTCAAGTAATTTGATCACAAGGCAGATGGCTTTTATGAGTAGTTTTTGTGGTTTGAAGATCCCATGGAAAGAGTGAGAGGACCTAAACTGAAAGGGAAACTTCTAAACTATTCCAAAAAGTGTAACTCAACTTACTGAATAATGGGTACGGTGCTTTTTCTATGTGCCCCCCCTATCCTTCTCAATTTCTCAATGTTACCCACCATCCCAAGTTAGACTCTGAACCAAAGCAATCAAAAAGGCATAGAAAGAAGAGTGTCATTTTTCTTCATCCTCTTCTGCTTTCCCTCATCTATTGCTGCCCTTTGTAATCATGAGTCCTTGTGCCATCATTGCTATATAAAAGTCTCTCTCTTTCTCTCTCTCTCTCTCTCTCATTCTCTCTCATACAAACACAAGATCACAGCTATATTATAACACTTTTTCTTTCACCCTAGTAGTTTCCTACCAAGTTCTTATCACCTATAAAAACCCCTTGTAGCCTATTTGTTACACCTCACAATCCATTTTTTGTTTATTTGTTATTCTGTTTTGTGAGTGAACTTTTATTCTCAAGCTTATAGCTCTTCTTCTCTGAAAGGCCTTGGCTTTTTAGAAGGGAAACAGCATGTGCTCTTTCTCTTCAAAACAGACCCTTTGTGGCCCTCTCCTTTTGGCACTTCCTCGTCCATGGCCATCTAAGAGACACCACAGGCACCTTCGGTTGGGCCTGCTCCAAAGGTACTGTTCCATAGTCTAGTAGTTTTATACCGTGTCTTTTTGCTGTTTCTCACAGCTTGTTGCATGTGTTTTGTCTCTGATGTAACATTGGCTTCTTGTGTGATGATGATGATGATGATGATGTAGAAGGAGGGCACACTTGAAAGAAGCGAGACAGAGGAAAAGGATGGTTGTGGTGAAAGCTGAAATTCAGATGAAAAACTTGAAATTGTACATGGAGAATCAAACAATCATAGAGGAGAATGAGAAGTTGAGGAAGCGAGCCATGCTTCTGCACAAAGAGAATCAGGCCTTATTGTCACAGCTCCAAAAGAAGCTTTCAGAACAGACCAACAATACCAACAATAACTAGCTATTAGCTGATTTATATATACAGTTTATTAGTGTGGTGAGAGTAGGAGAAATCGAAGGGTCCGTGTCAATGATCCTTTTCTGATGTTAGCCCTGTATCTTGTTGACTTTGCATCTTCTTTTTTGTTTTTTGTTTGCATCTTAGTCGGAGCCTTGGAGGTTAAATTAATTAATTTTCTAGCAATAAGTTTAGAGTGGTGTAATAAAGATAAATAGGTAATATGCCAATTGTAAGCATTACATGGAATATAGAATTGTGCAACGTTGTGGTAGTTTTTTTAAATTTCTCACTTGTTAGTTTTCCTGATGTCATGTTTAGAGTAGGGGACACTGACACTGAATACTTAACAGTGTCTTAGCTTTTTCCTGTCATAAGTCTTTGATTAAGCTGATCAATTCGTTTATAAATATACCTTTCAATAATAATATCACAACATTTTTCAACTGGGTAAGTATTACATTCATTGGGTCAATTAACAGTATACATGTTTTTGTAATGATATTGTTATATAAGAGTAGTGCAGAGATTTTATGCACTCATAATGGCAGCAGATGTTATATGGTTAGTCTGTCATCAATAGCATAACACAGTTAGAACTGGCAAAAGGAGATTCATGATTCAGCATCATTCATAACTAATATTCCTAGGGACATGTTTCTGGTGCTCGTTTATTACAGATTATTGGCCAAGGACTAAAATTTGTGATTGGCAAAATTATGTTGATGTAAAAGTCTTCTCATACAAACTTTTCCATAAAATAAATAGAGAAATTTCCCCATAAATTAAAATTAGTTAAATTAAAACTAACAATGAAGGAAAAATGTATAAGAACTTTTGCAAATTAGCTGTATAAGTTAATTTTACCTTAATGAAAAAATCATTTCATTTTTTTATATTATTTTTTTCAAAGTTTGTTGAAAAAGTTGTCCAAACAAATTCATAATAATAGAAGTTACACCATCTACCAAAGAAAACTATGGAGAAGAAAAAGCCAATGTTCTTCATTCACTACTTTCCTCCGTATCTTTTATGAGGGGATCCTTGGGAAGGCAATTGTCACATCTCCAGGTGTGCGTTTATTATATGATAAATATATTCTAAAAATAGGTCAAACTGTCACACAGAGAAATGTAAAGGTAGAAAATTAGGGATTGATTCATCGTTGTTATGTTTCACTCCTCAAAACACGATAAATAGAATATGCAGTAGCACATAAATTCAAACTCAACAGATTTGAAACAGTTCCCAACTACAGAGTAGCCAGTAAAAAGAAACTAGGTAATCACTTCAATTCACTACAGCAGACTTATCATGATTTGATGTTTGGAAAACCCCCCAGAAAGGAGGATACAATAAACCTACAAGATAATTTAATAACGACTGACCAAGAAAAAGTCTTCGTCATCAAGAACCTCAACATCTTTATTTCCAACAAAATGCTCTCGGCCAATTGCCTTCACTATATTGGCAAATTCTATCCTTTTCTCAAAAGGGAGAGGTACAAATGGTAGCCTAAAAACGGGCCTGACAACCCCAAGTTGAGCAAGAGCAGTGTTCAACCCAATGGGGTTTGGCATGTGGAAAAGCCAGTCAATCAGAGGTAAGAGCTTAGAATTTAGCCTAGGATTTAAACCATACATCAGTTCCCGCATTAGACCAGGAACCAGGTTGCTTGTAACAGATATCACTCCAGTAGCCCCATAATCCCATCTAGCATCATGGCATTGATCATCATTCCCACTCCACACAACAATGTCATTGTCTGTATACTGCTTGATCCGATCATTTCCAACACACTCCTTGACACCAGCTAAGTTAGAACTTTCAGCTAAGGTTTGAATTACATGTGGAGGAATGTCTTGACCAGTCCGTGAAGGCACATTATAGATTATAGTGGGTCCCATCGGAAGCACACTTTGAAAGTGAGCAACCATGCCATCCAACGAGGTTTTTCCGTAGTAGGGGTTTATGTGAAGGGCAGCATGCATTCCAACAGCAAAACCCTGCTCAGTGGCATGAATTGCTTCCCTGGTGGAGTTGCTTCCAGTATTTCCAATAACCTTAACTTTCCCACCAAAACAGTTAACTGTATGAGCAATGAGCATTATGTGCTCCTCCCAGCTCATTAATTGTCCTTCACCAGTTGTCCCACCAACAATAACACCTTCCACCCCTTCTCCAATCTGCATATTCACCAAGTCATCGTACGCTTCAAGATCAAATCGCCCATCAGGTAGGTATGGAGTTTTGATGGCAGTTATCAACCTCAGACACTTTATGTCCTCTGGGGAAGTCCTGTAAATGCAATACATTAAAATAAGCAGTAGCCCAAATAAGCAGCAATGAAAACCGAAAGCCAAAAATAAAAATTTTATATTACATTAAAATATGTACGAATATAGTTTCATTATAAAAATATATATGGCCGTGTAAATAGATTTAAATAGATGACATAAAACCCTTGCTAAGCAAAGGACGGATTGGATAAGAAGTGCAAATTAAGTTCAAAGTGCAAATTAGTGAGAGAGAACATTGCTTAAAGCTCTAGATGCATCACATCATCTGTGTCTCGTCCAGAAATCCTACTCAGAGCATGCATCCTACAGTTCCCACCTAATTTAGACAATACGCACATGTACACATGATAAAAACAGTTTCAGAAATGAAAAGATATGAAAACAAATGTATATATAATTTAGTAGAAAATTGAATGGATTTATAACAGTAAACTTCAAACCCACCTATTCTTCAACTCAAAGCTGCGCATTGGGAGGTGCAAACTAGGTTTCACAGCTGCTTGTGGAGGCTTCCAGTTTGAGCTCCTGATTAATATAGAAATTATTTAACATCACACGTAGCAAAATTTGGAAAGAGTGGTATTTTTCAAAACGTAATGGGCACCGATACACACAGTCGTACATACATGCATATGACAAAGAGAAAACCATATTGCAACTACAAATATAGAATACTGATTTGAAATTGGAAAGAGTATACACTTGATTAAAAAGTAAAAAGCTGACACCCAAAAGTAAGGAGGCAGAGACATGGAGCACACTTATGGGGTGAATGTACAGAGAGTCCTTTTCACTCTAGTTTATCATCTTACTATCTTTCATTATCCTAAACGAAGAAACATTATTTCCCATGAAGAACTGGAAAGAGGTAACCACGAGGCATAACTGTTTAGTCAAGTTTACAAGTAGAAAGGGACGAAACTTTCAAGAAATCGAACATTAAAGAAGAGAACAAGAGAGTCCTATTGCATTTCCGTCTTACTTCTACAAATCTCATTGTACTCCTCATAATAATCAATCAGTAGTAAATATGGCTAGACTAAAAGGCTATTATTGCAGAAACACAATAATCAAATAAACAACAGAAAAACGGTATTAAAAAGGGGCGATCCTTTACAGTAAAAAAACCCTCTAACACATAGTTATCAAGGAATTGCGGCTATAACCAAAAGGAACTGTCAGTGGTACGGCCACTATTCTGAATGCTATAAATACAGATTAAATAATTTATGTAACACATATAAATGCTCAAAAACAGAACATATTATACACTGTGTGAAAGATAAATCGAGTGCTGTGCTGATTTCATCTTCAGTGTTATTATGTATTGTAATTGTAAATCCTTGTATTTATTTATGACTCTTTAAGTCTCAATATATAAATAATATTCTCCGCTATGCAGTTGACACACATAATCCATCATATATGTTCTCATTTCTTTTCCCTCTCACTAGAGCTAAACACAACAATAACAAACATCTAGAAATGAAACAAGTGTTAGTCTCCAAGAGGATGGTGCTACAAATAAAAGAACTGCTTTGAGGTTGACAAATGATGGTAAAAATAAACCAAAAAAGACAGGACAATCAGAATTCAGAATTGAACACAGAGATAGAATGTTTTGAACAAGGAATCAAGGCAGGTTTTTAAAACTCATCAAAGTTTTTGTGCCGCTAAAACGCACAAAGCGACACAACATATTTGAATGTACTACACACTAGAGTGCAAAGGGTAACTCAATCCAGTGTTGATTCAAATTCAAGTGCCTCACAAACTCAATTAACCCGGAAAAATCAAAATGCCAATATCCTTTACCCATGTATGCCCCTTAGAGGCTTTCTCACTTCAGATAAACAATTTAAAAAATCCACCAAACAGCGAATCAAACCTAATAACCCACCGTTAACACATAACCCAGTAACGAACAACCTACACAAACAACACTGCCTTTAGTCAGATTTCAGAAACCATCCAATACATCAATAATCCTTGGAACTCCGATTTCGAAATTACAAAGTCCGAAAACGAAAAAACAAACAAACAACAACAACAACAACAACAACACTAATAATAATTAAAATTGATGAGGAAAATGAACCTGGTGTTTTTATTATTGGTGACATTGGAGGGGCAATCGGGGAAGGTGGCAGCTCTGAAGCAAAGGGTTTTGAGTGTAGCCATGATTTGAGAAACTGGAGAAGAAGATCCGAATGGGAAGATCAAAACGGTGTCGTTGGAAGGGAGATCTTAGAAGAGGAATGGGAAGAAGATGACTTCAGTGAGAGTAGAAAATGGCGGCGAAGAGTACTTTGGCTTTTTTCTCTGCGCGAAACGGAAAATGACACACACCACTGCACCCGTCTACTCTTCCACACTTCTTAAACTTCCAAGAACAAAAATACAATAAAATATTATTTTTTAAGTTAAAAGCAATTTAAAGAATTAAAAAATCATATTACAAACTTAAGTATTTTACACATTGTACTTCGTTTTAATATTACTCCTTTGTTATATCATTGGTTTAGAAAATAAATTCCAAAAAAAAACTATTGTGTAAAAGGTGAATAAAAGAAGAAATGTATATCTCATGAATTTATTTTTAATTCCACTAAAAATATCTGTTATCATTAAAGATATCTTATCTATATATATAAACGAATGTTTATCTTTTGTTTTATCCTAAATGTAACTTGTATCCTAACATAGTATGTAGATGTGTATAGAAAATAATACATTGAGAAAAGAGACAAAATATTAACAGCATTTGTACTAAAAGATGTTTTTGTTTGTTGATATGCTTCCTCTCTTTTCGACAACAATTATGGTTCCTTGTGTTTGACTAGGCGCATGTTTACATTGAAGGCCAAAGTTGTTAAACTTAGCTCTTAGTAAGAGTTAAAATGTAGTTCAGAAACATCTTTTTAGAAAGAAATAAAAAAAAAAATAGATTTTTCAACATTACCTTTGGTATTATTATTATTTTTA